ACGCCTGGTCTTGCCATCTGCTTCAGAAACAGTCTCCTCTATCATTAAAGGGCAAATTCTCTCTCAATTGGCGATTTGGTGCACACTGATTTCTTTTCCTTGATGCAATTCAGGAAGGACTCGGAGTTCCTGCTGGAGCTGCGGCCTCCCCTGTCTGTGTTTGTCTGACTTCAGTGAGGCTGTCTCAGTTTGTAGACTTTAAGTATGAGGCCATCAATCATTTCCTCTCCTTCAGCTAATTTAGTGGACATTTGATTTCTTTTAAGGTGTTTTAGCTGGGCTCAGGGACTCACCGCTGTAATCCCCACACTTGGGGAGGCTGAGACGGGTGGATTACTTGAGCCGGGGAGTTGGAGATCAACATGAGCAACATACAAAGTCCCTGTCTCTACAAAATATGCCAAAATTAGCGGCGTGTGCTGGTGTGCACCTGTAGTTCCAGCTACTTGGGAGGCCTAGGTGGGAGGACCGATTGAGCCCAGGAGGTCCAAGCTACAGCAAGCCATGTTTGTGCCACTGCACTGCAGCCTGGGCTACAGAGCAAGCCCTGTCTAAAATTAAATAAATAAATAGTGTCTTACGAGAACTGTTTTTTGTTTGTTTGTTTGTTTGTTTTGAGATGGAATTTTACTCTTGTTGTCCAGGCTGGAGGGCTGGAGTGCAGTGATGCAACCTCTGCCTCCTGGGTTCAAATGATTCTCCTGCCTCAGCCTTCCCTAGTAGCTGGGATTATCGGCACCTGCCACCACATCCAGCTAATTGTATTTTTAGTAGAGACAGGGTTTCACTATGTTGGCCAGGCTGGTCTCGAACTCCTGACCTCAGGCGATCCACGTGCCTTAGCCTCCCAAAGTGCTGGGATTATAGGCGTGAGCCACTGCACCTGGCTAAGAACTCTTTGAGTGGCATCCACTTCTTCAAACTCCTTTTGAAGAATCTAGGAGCCGCTGGCTTTCTAATGCAGTTGTTCCACCCAGTTGCGAGCTCCCACCATCCATGTTGTCTTCTCCCAGGAAGGCCCCCAAACACTCCTCTTTAAGCGAGTGGCCACCCAGAGGCTTGGTCTGATCGCCTGTAGAGTGTTCTATATTTCATTCTGCTTACCATGTTCACCCACTCTTCCTTCTCTTCTCTGGCTTCTTGCGAAAGCAGCCTCATGCATCCCTGAAGACCATCATGGTCATCCAGGGATGATTTCATGCTGTCTAAAGGTGCTCTGTTTCCTCTGATGTATTTTGAAGGCTGTTTTGGTTGCAGATTCTTGATGTCAGATACATTGTGCTGCATCTTCTAAAGACTGAACGTTTCTTGCAATGCCAGCCATCAACTCAACTTGTTCTGAACGTTTAGCTTTCTCTTTATGTCCTCTTCTAAAAGCCCTATTTTAAGCCCAAATAAAGAGTTGGCAGTTTCCAACTTTGTATTAATGGCCTCCAGTTTTTACATTTCCATGTGGCTGAGTTTCCAAAAATGTGATGTTGTCCCCCTAGAGGGATAGAAATGGCCAATCTGTCTCTACTTGCATAAAGTAGGCTCTCAACTAAACTCCGCCTATGACCAAAACCACCCTCTTGCCCAGAAGTCCTTGGGGAGCTGGGCCTGGTCCAAGTCCCTGCACTGCTCCCACCACCTGGCGTGGCATCTCTAGGACCAGCATGACACAGAGCATCATGGCCATAGCAGACCCTACATGGCCCTGACACCACTGTGAAGTCTCTCAGTTGCTAGGACACTGCCAGTGACAACGGACTGAGAAAAACACAGAGACTGAACCAAATGAGTCTTGGTAACCAGGGCAGACTCCAGTGGAGGTGGGGCAGGGAACAGGTGCAGCAGACCTGGCTGAAGTTCGTTCTTCTCATGAGTAAACTTCATAAAAAGTTACACAAAACTCCTGATGCTCAGCCCCTCCTTGGTTTGGGTCTGCCAGCCTTGAATGCATGTAGGGAGGAGAGGTTATTGTGGGTCCTACATTGGGGTTTGGCTTCACTAACTTCATCCTTAAACAATGAGGAGGAAGAAAGTGGAATTTGTCGTCAATAGTACAAGCACCCAAGGGGTTCACCTTGCCCGCGCATAGACAGAGCAAGTTTATCAAGACAGGGGAACTGTAGCAGAGAAAGGGTAATTCACATAGAGCTGGCTGTGCAGGAGACGAGATTTTTATCATTACTCAAATCAGTCTCCTCCAGCATTCGGGGAGCAAGGTTTTTTTTTTTTTTTTTTTTTTTTTGAGACAGAGTCTCACTCCGTCACCAATCGCCAGACTGGAGTGCAGTAGCATGATCTCGGCTCACTGCAACCTCCGCCTCCTGGGTTCAAGCAATTCTCCTGCCTCAGCCTCCTGAGTAGCTGGGATTACAGGCACGCGCCACCACGCCCAGCTAATTTTTGTATTTTTAGTAGAGACGGGGTTTCGCCATGTTGGCCAGGATGGTCTCGGGGAGCAAAGTTTTTAAGGACAACTTGGTGGGTGGGGGGAAGCCAGTGAGCCAGTAGTGCTGACTGGTCAGAGATGAAATCAAGGGAAGTTGAAGCTGTCTTGTTGCACTGAGTCAGTTCCTGGGTGGGGGCTGCAAGATCAGATGAGCCAGTTTATCAGTCTGGGTGGGGCCAGCTGATCCATCAAGTGCAGGGTGTGCAAAATATCTCAAGTACTGATCTTAGGAGCGGTTTAAGGAGGGTCAGAATCTTGTGGCCTCCAGCTGCAAGACTCCTAGACCATAATTCCTAACCTTGTGGCTAATGTGAGTCCTCCAAGGTAATTTATTCCCAGACAAGAAAGAGGTCTGCTTTGGGAAAGGCTGTTATCGTCTTTGTTTTAATCTATAAGCTATAAATTAAGTTTCTCCCAAAGTTAGCTCAGCCTACGCCGAGGAATGAACAAGGACAGCTTGGAGGTTGGAAGCAAGATGGAATCAGTGAATTAGATCTCTTTCACTGCCTCAGTCATAATTTTGCAAAGGTGGATTCAGTAGTTCAAGAAATAGGCCGGCCAGCATGAGCCAGGAAGACATGACATTCACCTCTTCTTCCAGGATTGAAGCATTTGATGAGGTAGAAGCTCTTAGAAGGTATTAGATCCTGGATGGAACATGTGGCAGGAGGTTTGGGCCACGTGGGCGCCTCTGCAGTGTAGAATCTGCTCCTTAGGTTATGGGGAGCCCAGCCTTGACTAGCTTAACGAGCAGCTGGGTGGTGTTGATGAGGCTGCGAGTCAGCTGGAGGTTGGCTGATTTGGGCTGGGCATGCCTGAAAAGTTCTGCTGACCTCAGCTGAGCTCACTCTGGCGTCTCAGGGTCAGCTGAAGGTTGGCTGAGCTTGACAGCCCTCTGCCTGACTCGCTCAGATGTCTCAGGTGCTGCTGGGGATTGGCCCATTCTGAGACTGGACTGTGGAGGACTTCGGTGGTCTTGGCTGGGTGTGCTCATGTGTCTCAGGGTTGGCTGGGTGTGGTCTGTTGATGTAGGCTGGGCTTAGTGGGGTGTTCCGTCCTGCCCCATGAGTGTCTTTCATCCTCCTTGGAGATATCAGTGATTGTTTTGATGACCTTTTCTTTTCTCTTTCTGAAGTCATCCTTGTTAGGAAAGCTGTGAGTTTCCAAAACCAGGATATAGAATAGGAGCAGATGTAGCCATCCATTTCTTCCTCTGTTTGTACAGCCCCCTTCACTTCACCAGCCACTGAATAATAGAAAACGTATGGAAAAAATCTTAAGTCTGGGAGGGCCCCGTCCAGTGTGGACAATGCATACTTGGCAGAGCTGATGGAGCTAGCTTTTGACCTCTGCAGGGTTTTCATGAAAGAGGAAGCCAGCGCCCGCATTGTATGCATGCACTAAGTCATTTCTCCTCTGGCCTTGTTCAAAGCCCGTGAGCTTTTAATTATTGGTCTGGAAGAACAACTGCAACCAAGAGCTCCAGAACCTCAGTCAACTTAGCATTTTACTCATCGTCTCTCATTTCCACCTCTGGGACTGCTGGCCATCTTGCTCCTTGGGGGCTTCCATGACTGACTCCCTTGGGCTGGGCAGTGGCAGCAAAGTGAAGGGGTCATCCAGAGGAAGCTGCTGTCTTCACTGGCTTTTGTCTGCTTATCCCATCAATGACAGAGAAAACCATGTTTCATTGATAGACTGCTGCATAGCAAACCACCCCAAAATCTCATGGCTTCAGATAATTCATTATTCCCCATGATTCTGTGGGTCCACTGGGTCATGCGGCCTGCTGGTGTCATTTGGACAGCTGGAATCATCTGGAAGCTCAGCTACTGCTAACTTCACTTACGTGCTGGGACCTTGGCAAGGATGTATCAGTTCTAGTCCATGTGTCTTCTCTGTCTCCATGGAATGTCTCAATTTTCAATAGTCTAGTCCAAGGTATTCTGCATGGCAGCTGGCTTTCAACAGAGTGAAAGAGAATCTTCCAGCCTCTTAAGGGCCAGGCTAGAAGTGGCCCAGAATCATTTCTGCTACATTCTGTTAGTCAAAGCAAGTCATAAGGACCTTGCTGATCTAAAGAATAGGAAAATATGGTCAGGTGCGGTGGCTCCTGCCTGTAATCCTAGCACTTTGGGAGGCCAAGATGGGTGGATCACTTGCGGTCAGGAGTTCAAGACCACCCTGGCCAACGTAGCAAAACCCGTCTCTACTAAAAATATAGAAATTAGCCAAGTGTAGTGGCGCACACCTGTAGTACCAGCTACTCGGGGGTCACAGCAGGAGAACTGCTTAAACCCAGGAGGCGGAGGTTGCAGTGAACCAAGATCCCGCCACTTCACTCTAGCCTGGATGACAGAGCGAGACTGTCTCAAAAACAAAATAGTAAAAATTTTAAAAGAGGAGGAAAATGACTCCATCTCTTGTTGGGAGGTGTGCTACGTGGTTGGATGATGGTGGCACTGCTGGTGGCCATCTTTGGAGACAACGTGACGATGATTACAAATTCATCTATTTCTCCACTTAGTTCTGTCAAGTTTTGTTTCATGTATTTTCTTTCTTTTTTGTTACGGAACACTTCACGAATTTGCCTGTCATCCTTGCGCAGGGGCTGTGCTAATCTTCTCTGTATCGTTCCAATTTTAGTCCATGCGCTGCCGAAGCCAACACTGTTTCATGTATTTTCAAACTGTCATTAGGAACAGGCATATTTAGGATTGTTGTCTTCTTGATACATTGATTTGATCATCATTAAGAAGTATCTCTCACCAGGCGTGGTGGCTCATGCCTGTAATCACAGCACTTTGGGAGGCTGAGGCAGGTGGATCACCTGAGGTCAGGAGTTTGACCTTTTGCTCTGTTGGTCATCCTGGCCAACACAGGGAAACTCCATCTCTACTAAAAATACAAAAATTAGCGGAGCAAGACTCCATTTAAAAAAAAAAAAAAAGAACCATCTCTCTTTATCTTTGGTAATGCTTCTTGCCTCAAAGCCTATTGATATTAGTATGGTTGCCAGCTTTCTTGTGATTAGTGTGATTACTGATTACTGTATCTTTAAAGTACATCTTTTTTTTTTTTTTTTTTTTTTAGACGAAGTCTCTCTCTGTCACCCAGGCTGGAGTGCCTCCCAGGTTCAAGCGATTCTCCTGCCTCAGCCTCCTGAGTAGCTGGGATTACAGGCTTGTATTACCGTGCCCGGCTGATTTTTGTATTTTTAGTAGAGATGGGGTTTCACCAGTTTTGTCAGGCTGGTCTCGAACTCCTGACCTCATGATCCACCTGCCTCAGCCTCCCAAAGTGCTGGGATTACACCGTGCCTGGGCCAAAAGTACATCTATTGTAAACAGTATGTAGTTGGGGCTTGTTGTTTTTTTTTTTTTAATCCAGTCCAATTGTTTTTGTTTGTTTCTTCCTCTCATTCTTGCCATCATCTTAACCATTGTTGTCTTTTAAATGGGGTGGCTGCCCTGTTTCCATTTAGTGGAAGTATTGATATGGTTGAGTTTTATGGTTCAGTTTTGCTACCTGTTTCTGATTTATCCTATCTGTTATTTGCGGCTTCTGTTTTTCTGTCTTTGAGGATTAATCCGGTATGGTATGGTATTTTATCTTACCTTCCCTGTTAGTTTTTCAGATATACATCTGTTTCCTTTTATTTGATTTTTTTAAAGTGGTTGCTTCAGGGAGGTAATAAAGCATTTATCCTTAATTTATCACAATCTACATTAAATTAATATTAAACCGCTTCTGTATAACGGTTTACATTACATTAGTGTAATTATTCCCATGTTATCTTTGATCTATCCATGTCATAGACTTTGCTTCACATGTTATAAACTCCATAATATATTATTAGTGTTTTTGCCTTTTAAAGAAATGAAGAAAAGAGATAAAATCATCTTTTATAATTACCCATAGATTCGTATTTCTGGCTGTCTCGATGCCTTCCTTCCTGTTCTCATCTGGATCATTTCTCTTCAGCTAATGAGCTCCCGATAGCATCTCTTATCTGGTGAGTCTGCAGGCTATGAATACTCTCAGCTGTAATTTCTTCAGAAATGTCTTTATTTCACCTTCAATTGAAAATTTATTTTAAAGTTTGATACGACAGAAATTATTCTTTTTTTTTTTTTTTTTTTTTGAGGCGGCATCTCATTCCCATGGCTCAGGACAGACTCCAGTGGTGCGGTGCGGTCACGGCTCACTGCAGCCTCAACCTCCCAGGCTCAAGTGGTGATTCTACCACCTCAGCCACCCAAGTAGCTGGACTATCGATGCGTGCCACCACGCCCAGCTTTTTGTATTTTTAGCAGAGATGGGCTTTTGCCATGTTACCTAGGCTGGTCTCACATTCCTAGGCTCAAAGAATCTACCTGCTTCAGCCTCCCAAAGTGCTGGGATTACAGGAATGGGCCACCGTGTCCAGCCTGGAAATTATTATTTATTTCTATATTACAATAGTATCTTACCACTACTTTATGCTAAGAAAAATGTATTTTCAATTATTATTTTATTTCTCAATAGATTGTTTAGTCAATAAAAAAATACAAACTTTTTAAAATAATAGTGTTCTTTTATTGTTTTTTTTTCTAATAATAAAGTGTTTCTAAACTTTAAGATAGCGGGATAGAAACAAAATATTATCAAATATCATTTTTTGTTAAATGATACTTTTTTTCATTATTTTGGTTAACTGCTACTTTTTCATTATTTTGGTTAATTGCTACTTTTTTCAATTCAATGATTTTTAGTAAATTTATGGAATTGAGCAACTATATAATCCAGTGTTAAAACTTTTTTTTTTTTTTTTTGAGAGAGTTTTGCTCTTGGCTGAAGTGCAATGGTGCCATCTTGGACCACTGTAACCTCCGCCTCCCAGGTTCAAGCGATTCTCCTGCCTCAGCTTCCCGAGTAGCTGGGATCACAGGTGTGTGCCACCATGCCCTGCTAATTTTGTATTTTTAGTAGAGATGGGGTTTCTCCATGTTGGCCAGGCTGGTCTTGAACTTCCAACCTCAGGTGATCCACCTCAGCCTCCCAAACTGCTGGGATTACAGGCGTGAGCCACCACGCCCGGCCTTAGAACATTTTAATCACCCCAGAGTGTGTCCTCATGTCCATTTGCAATTAGTTTTTGCCTCATCCTCAGCCCTAAACAACCACAGATCTGCTTTTTGTTCTCATAAACTTGGGACAGTTCATATAAATGGGGTCATATAGTATATGGATTCTTTCAGTTGACGTAATGTTTTTGAGCATTCTGTTGTAGCGTGTACCGGCATCTTCCCTTAATTGTTGACTGGAATTCCATCGTGTGACTCCATCAGACTTTGCTTCTACACTTATTAGCTGTTGGGCATTCGGACTGTTTGCAGGTATAGTTATTATGAATAGCACTGCCCTGAACTTCAGGTACTGGCTCTGTGTGGCAGAAGTGTTCACTTTTCTTGGGAAGATTCCTTAGAATGGAATTGCTAGGTCATATGGGAAGTTGTTGTTTAACTGTTTGCAAGGTTTATCTTTCTCCATCCTTCATTTCCCACCGATCTGTGTCTTTGAATCTAAGATGTCTCCTCTAGACAGAAAATAGCTAGATTTGGCTTTTTACCCACTTAGACTGTAACTGCCTTGATAGAATGTTTAGACTAGTCACACTTAATGTAAGTATTGCCATGTTTGAATTTACAGTTGCCATTTTGCTATTTGTTTTCTGAATGTCTCCTACCACTTTTTTACCCTGTTTCTCATTACTGCCTTCTTTTGTGTTGAATACATATTTTCGGTGTGTCATTTTAACATATTTTAACTTTTTTTCTTGACACAGTGTCTCACTCTGTCACCCAGGCTGGAGTGTAGTGGTGTGATCACGGGTCACTGTGGCCTCTACCTCCCTGAATTTAGGTGATCCACCTTACCTCCTGAGTAGCTAGGACTACTAGTAGGCATGACACACCGTCATGCCCAGTTAATTTTTGTATTTTTATTTATTTATTTATTTATGTTTTGAGACGGAGTTTCGCTCTTGTTACCCAGGCTGGAGTACAATGGCGCAATCTCGGCTCACCGCAACCTCCGCCTCCTGGGTTCAGGCAATTCTCCTGCCCCAGCCTCCTGAGTAGCAGGGATTACAGGCACGCGCCACCATGCCCAGCTAATTTTTTGCATTTTTAGTAGAGACGGGGTTTCATCATGTTGACCAGGATGGTCTCGATCTCTTGACCTCATGATCCACCCACCTCGGCCTCCCAAAGTGCTGGGATTACAGGCTTTAGCCACTGTATCTGAACTTTTGTTGATTTGTAAACAACATTTTGAGGTTTTTTTTCTTAGTGGTTGCTTTAGGCATCACAATATGCACCTTAACTCACCGCAGTTCACTGCAGATCAATAGTAACTCAATTCTGCTACTATGTAGAAACTTTGCCTCGTGTGATTCAGTCCATCCCTCCTCTCTCCTTTATGCTGTTTTTATCATAGATAGCAGATCTACATCTTGTGGACATAACACTACAGCTATACTTACCGCTTTATACAAACTTGAGTCTTTTGGAAGTTAAAAGAAGAAATAAGAGTAAAACATATTTATCTGTTATATAAATGTACATATGTATGATTTCTGGTACTATTTACTTGGATTTACCCTTCGGATTCAGCTTAACATGTGAATCTCTTCCTTTCACCCTAAAAGACTTTCTCTAGTATTTCTTTTCTTTTCTTTTATTGAGACGGAGTCTCGTTCTGTCTCCAGGCTGGAGTCCAGTGGCATGATCTCGGCTCACTGCAACATCCAACTCCTGGGTTCAAGCGATTCTCCTGCCTCAGCCTCCCGAGTACCTGGGATTACAGGCATGTGCCACCAGGCCCAGCTAATTTTTGTATTTTTAGTAGAGATGGGGTTTCACCATGTTAGCTAGGATGGTCTCGATTTCCTGACCTGTGATCCTCCTGCTTTGGCTTCCCAAAGTGCTGGGATTACAGGTGTGAGCCACCGTGCCAGGCTCTGTAGTATTTCTTTTAAGGCAGTCGAACTAGCAATCAAGTCTTTCAGTCTTCATTTATCTGAAAATATCTTCATTCAGCCTTCATTTCTGAAGTACAGTTTTGCTGGATATAGAATAGTTGATTGACGGTTTTTTCCTTAAGCACTCCGAATATGCCATTCCACTGCCTTCTGGCTTCTGTAGATGCAGATGAGAGAAGCCAGCCATTAATTGTACTGTTGTTTCCCTGACGGATGGGTGGTTTTTCTCTTGCTGCTTTCAAGATTTCCTCTGTTAAAAGAAAAACTTTGGTAGAATTAAATGTAGAGGAGTGTAATGTAATTGAACAATGAATAATTCATGCATCAGGCAGCCCTGAGTCACAGCAGATTCAGAGAGACCCCAGGGGTGCCTCATGGTCAGAACAAATTTATAGACCAAAAAAAAAAAAAGTAAAGTGACCTATAGATATCGGAAGTTAGGTGCAGAAACAACTGGATTGGTTCCAGCTCAGCATTTGCCTTATTTCAACACAGTCTGAACACTCAGTAGTGTATGAGTGGTTGAAGGAGGGCCACTGGGATTGGCCAAGACTCAGCTATTGTTACAGGTGCTTACTCCTAAGTTAGGTTTTCAATCTTGTCTACCTATTAAGTTAGGTTGCAGTTTGTCCACAGGGGCTCAAAC